ATCATTTTTGGTTGCTATTATTAAAATTCAAGCAACTTGTATACGTGTGTAATATACATTGAGCTGATTTGTAGTTCTTGAAGAAAATTAGACTGAAATTTTGCAAAATTTTACTTCTTTTAAATCTTTAATATTATATTTATATCTTTAATATTTCATATTCCTCTTCTTTTGAATTCAACAATAATCAATCTCCTCAATGTATGTGTCCTCATTATGTATTTTTTAACAGCTTGTTTCTACAAGACATAGAGAATGTTATTGCACCTAAGTAATTAATAATAAGTAATGAATCCTGTCACGAATTGTATTTCTATCTACGAATAAAAAAAATGTTTGCTTTCATAATGAAGCACGCAATCAGAGGAATTTAATATGTATTAAATATATATTTTACAAAAAGAAATTTCGATCAAAATTTCTTTGATTAAATTGATGGACAATCACTAGATATCGTATATAATAATAGTAACTATTCGATTTATTACGCTTCATTATAGTTTTTAGCGAGGATGGAGCGTTTTCCATAATAGCTAGTAACTATGCCACAGTCGCTTTTTTCTCTTCAAATCGATAAATATATTTCGCAAAAAACGAGTCAAAAAATATACTATATATACTTGGAACTGAAGGACGTGTATTTTTTTTTTTTTTTTTATTTCTATATTTTTATTTTCCCTCGATCCGTGATGTTAAACGTGTACGCATAAAATATACTCTTTTATATAAATGTCATGGTTACACATGAACGTCGATACTTGACCAGTTCTTTTGTGTAAAATATTGCTTCAATTTTTCAGTATTCAGTTTTATCTTTAAAAAATGCTGCAAACTTTTTCATAAAGTTTCGTGTCGATATAATTGCCTGGAAATTTTATGAAGTTTCATATATCTCAATCCCAAGATTGATCTATTTGGACAGAGAAATGCCGTGAAATTTTATCAGTCATTCTCCTTTCGATTATCTACTGCGTATCTAACCGAAGCAGCCTTTTCTTTTCTGTTTACTTCTTTCTCGACGCGAAAACAATGGAAATTTCTACTTGCGACGATAAAATACTCCATTCGATATAACTTATTAAAATATCAAATTTTTCTCAAGGAAAATACTTTCCTTTTAATTTACTTTCCTTTTAACGTGAAATATCCAGCACCGTCGCGTCGATTAATCGGTAAATTAATTTTTTTTTTTTTTTACATTTATCAGTCTCAAAAATGGTTTGAGCGAAAATCTCAAGGGAATCATTTCGCTTATCTGCATTCGAAAAGTCATTTCCGCTCGTTGCAACTGATATTGTTTTCCGTTTTCATTGCTGATATCTATTGTAAATCTCTCTTCATCATAGTTAAATCGATAAGATTTTAATTCCCAATGTATCAATTAAACGCGTTGCATATCTCCTCACTTCGCAAACATATAGCGAAGAATCCACGCTTGTAAAAACGTCCGTTTTCAACGTCCGGAAACACGTGAATCCGACCAGCAAAATTAGATCACAAAGTGATCTAAACGCTGGTCTTTCTGTAAGATCTTTTTGCATATTTTCCAAATATGCCTTCGGCGTGCTTATAGAAATGCACCATTGATTTTTGCCGCGAAATCGCATGTTTGTTTTGCTGTCAAAGAATCGACACGTCCTCCGACTTTCTATTTTCCGGCAATATAGCCCTTCTTTCCTCCATTTGAATGCCACCACCGTTCTGATCGCTCGAATAATCGCAATTATTCGATATTCCCGGCTGTATGTTCACGTATTTATGCGGTGAGTCCTCTTTCTGCTTGAAACTTTGAAGAATCATAGGTAAACCCGACAAAGATTCGTTAGCCTTCAACAAAAGTGGCCTGGAACTCTCTATATCGGCGATTCCATTGCCTACAATCGAGTTTTGAATCGGCTTATCGTCGTGATCGTTGATGTCTAGCAAAGGAGGATACGGTATACCGAAAGGGCTGGACGTAGACGTGGATCGAGTCGTGGAATTCTGAGGTGGCCACGACAATGAAAACTTCCTCAAATTCTCTGGTAACTCTATGTCTAATTGTCCAGTATGCTCGATTTGCACACTGGCCAAAGGAACGTCTAAACAAGGAGATAAAATTCGAGGATTCGTCGCTAGAAACTCGACGATCTCCGGAGCAGTTGGCCTCTTTACGTGATCTGGTCTCCAACAAGAGTACATCAAGTTTTCTCTGTGAAAAGATAATTGTTAGAATAATGGTTACGTATAATATCAATTGCGACAAGATGATCGATTCTCACAATTGTAACTTCACTCCTTTGGGAACCATCAACGAATTTCCACTCTTAACATGGTTCAGTACTTCGGTGTTGCTCATACCCTGGAAAGGGAAACTACCGAACGTGATAATCTCGTACAAAAGAACGCCATAGGACCAGACATCCGAAGCTGGAGTGAAGATACCTAGTCCCAAAGACTCTGGTGCCATCCATCTTACCGGTAGCATACCTGGAAGAAAGAGAAAATTATTTTATTTATCAACCAAAAAAAAAACAAATATATAAATTTTGTTGAAGTCGTGCCATCATACCTCTTCGATTGAACTTGTAGTAATCGTTCTCGTACATCAACCTCGTCATACCAAAATCTCCAAGCTTCACTACACGTTGCGCGTTCACCAGACAATTACGCGAGGCAATATCCCTGAAAAAGTGAACTTAACGATGAAGCAAGTTGAAACAAACGAGCCGAATTTATTTGACTTACCTATGAACATATTTTGACTGAGCCAAATAGCTGAGCGCCCTAGCTACATCTAACGCCATTGCGGTTAACTTTCTATTAGAAATCTCATCCGAATCTTCGTAACTATTGTCGTTCACGAGATGTCTTCTGGCGAGAAGGTACGTCTTCAGATCGCCATAAAGCATGAATTCCATCACAGTTAAGACTGGTTCACTCTTGATGCACACCCCTAACAGTTTGATTATATTCTTGTGCTCGAATTGTTTCATCACTTCCACCTCGCTTAGAAAGTCTAATTTTTCCTCGGTGGAACTTCCAATTTTCAGAGTTTTCACGGCCACGGCTAGCCAACCCTTTTCAGGGAAGAACGCCTCACCACCGTAAACCGTTCCAAAAGCACCCTCCCCTAATTTTCGGTTAATAACCACCCTGTGTCGGGGTATCTCCCATTTGTCCAGATCAGACGAGTCGTCACAAGCATAGGATATACCCATAGACTTCAAATACTCTCTCTGTTCGCGTACTTTTCTTTCGTATCTGATAGAAAAAGATATATTATAAAACATTTGAAACATTTAATGAATGTTCGATGATTGAATTATTATATAGTTATAATTAGGGATATTTAATGGTGAAAATTAAATAAATAATAATTTCGTTCGTTTCGATCGTTCACCTTCGTTTCATGATGATGAAGCCAATGATCAAAAATATCCCCAGTAAACTAAAACCAAAGATATTGACGATCACGAAGGCTACTTCGCAAGACACATTCATGAAATCTGCAAATCCACCGATGACACATCGTTGGGGTGGTTCGGAGCCATCGTCTGGCATGGTTTTCGATAGCCAGACCAAAGAAGAGACGTTCAAATCCAATTTACCACCCGCCACTTCGTGTTGCTTTTCTGACACGTTAGGGTAAAAATTACCGACCAATCGAGTTTCGTTATTAATATGCTGAACAATATTGATAACGGAATATCTCGAAGGGCCACCAAAGAATTTTATTCTCCCAGACACCTAAACGGATTTATTAATTTTTTCATTTTATTTTCGTATTTATAATTTTTCTATATAAAAATTAAATACGTGTTAACTCCGCAATGGTATAAAATAATATTATTAATTTTCGTTCATTCATTGTATCAATCAAAATTATTGCAAATATAAAAATTGTGTAATTTTTTTTTGAAAGTCTAATTCTACGCAATCCAAAGCAGGCGTAATGAATTTTTTAATAATTTTTCTCACGATATAAACAATGATAAACGTCAATATATCATTGGATGAGTCGAAAACCATTGCAGAATCGACGAACGATCGATTAAAATTTTATTCATTACGTACCCCGTAAAAATCCATTTCACCGATGATGTCCGTTAATCGATTAATAGTATGATTGCTATGCAGATCGAAAACGTAACTCTGATTTTCACGAAGCAGCCTGTCCATCGCATAGGCATAAGTCCACATAGCGTCATACGCGTAACCAGCGTAATTAGACGGTGGTTGCTTCTTCTTTTGGCAATGAAGCTCGTAACGATCGCGCCATTGACGCACCGTTATCCCTTCTTGCATGATGTCGTTATCCGGTGCAAAATACGCGTGAGATAAACCGAGGTATCCGTTTATCGCTTTACTCATTTCTGCCGTGGTACATGGAACCTGTTCTCCTTTCTGATTGTATCGATCCGTATCGTACCATTCTGGTCGAAGCCAAAGAGGTAAGAACCACACGTAACCCTTCAATCGCGAAAAATTCGTGGAATTATTTTATTAACGCGATCGTAGACAAATCGATCGAAAAAAAGTGTGAAAAAACTTTGTGGAAAAGAAAATAACACGACGAGTAATAAACAGGTATAGTCGTTTATAAATTGAAACGTTTAAAGAATGAGTCCATGAATGACCATATATCACATTGATTACGACATTTTCTATATTAATTTTTTTCACATCGAATGACTTTAATGAAACTTTATCGCTATTCTTTACCATCTTTTTATTGCACAATCACGTGCTTATTAAGTCTTGGATAAAATGGATAAAAAAGGAGATAGTCTATTAGACTAAACTTCAAACTTTTTCTATACAACTAATATTGTATTGAGACTCTTATCTCTAATTTCAAAGACTAGTGATACAAATAATATACATTTTATATAAAAAAAAATAAATGAATTTTATAAATTATCGAGTTGAATTTTTCTCAACTTTATCTATGATATTCTATGATAAAAATTACCTGAACCGCTGTCATTTCTAATTTGTACGCGTTGCACATCACTTGCCGGGCTGCTTGATCGTATACATCAGCGATGATGATCTTTGCCTTCTTCTGTTTGAAATCTTGCAAGTACTATAAATTAAAATATTTTTATTAAATTTATCGCATGTGACTCATTGCACATTATATATCTATCAAGTTAATGACGTTTCTTCAAAAACCTGCATATTAATATTTAATATATGCAATATCTTTTTTTTTTTTTTTTGAAAAAAGATTTTTAGAAATTTTAGAATAAAAAACCAGATCTATACGTGATTTTATTACTCAAGAATTTATAAACTGATTAATATTGATTAATATTTGATTAAAAAGTTTTCATGAATTTTCTTCAAGTGGTAAGCGATAATAAAGTATATTTTCGACAAGAAAATTGAACTCAGAAATTGAACTCAAAGAAGAAATATTGTAATAAATTGACAAGTATTATGCAACATCGTTCAAAGCTAAATTTCTATCTCATTCGTGTAAATAATGTTAGTCAGTATTATCATAATAAATACGTTAAATAATATACGTTAAATGCATATGCAATCATTTTTCATAATTTTTACATGTTTAATCTCTAATATTTCATTTGTTCGATTTATTCATCGATATTTATATAATTTTCTGTTAGAAGAAAACCATAATTCGAGGAATCGAGCCTTACGCAACGATTCGTAAAATTTATCATCGGATTTCAAAAACTCCTTTATAAACAATATGCAAATTATTTAATCGCTATTTTCTTCGGAATTTATAAAAATATATATAATAAAATTAAGCAATCATTTTTATATAGATTTGTATAGATCACAGTTTAAGAAACAAATATATATTTATTTCAGAAAAAAAAAAAAATATTCTCGAAAATTATTTTACGTCATTGCGTTGAGAATAACTGGTCAATTTGAAGTCTGTTCAACGATCTCTTGGACTCTTCTCTTGGACTATTTACAAAGCAAAGAAAACATTTAGCATCCAACAAGGATCATCACCTTAGTCATCACAATGGGTTCCCGTTCCCTTGGAAACTTTGCATTCGCCACGAACACGATTCCATTGTCTCTGAACAAATCTTGCATGTAAGATATGTACTCGGTGTATTTCTGTCCATCCTCCGTCAACGAAGCCACCCTCTTCCATCCCAGTTTCTTCAACAATTGCAAATAAACGTGCTTGTACTGCTTGTTCTCACCAATAGTCCGAAAGAAGTAAGGATATTTAGTGCGATCGTTAAAGCTGGATCCTTCGGCGCTGTAACTAATGACCACTGTCTTATAATGCTTCGAAACACCGACCAAAGGCTCCACGGTCTCGGAACAAGCTGGTCCCAAAACGCCGACAAGCTTCTCGTATTGATTGTGCACTATATAATCGATGAACGATCTCATCACCATATCCGATTTACATTGGCCGTCATTCACCAACAGGGTGAAATTGTAATCCCTGAGGATGGTATTGTTCACGTTGATCGCCTCCTTTGCCATCATGGCCGCGACCAGTATCGCTTTCCCCGAATAAAACGTCTCGCTCATAGGAAATATCCCACCCACGTAAAGAATGTTCTTGTCGATGGTATTCGGCATCCATAAATCGAGAGTGTAGTTGAGATTCTCTCTCAACCAGTCGCACGCGATTTCTTCTTCGTTCCTGGATAAATCGTTGTTGCGCCGGTTGATTAGATCCTCGTACATCTCGCGGGTGAATTTCGCGTGATTGATCGCTTCGTAGGCTAACTTGGCGGCGTATTCGAGCTTAGCCCAGACAAGTTTGGTCAATCTATTGGATTCGTATTTGCAACCGATGTCCGAGCTCGTGGCGCTGCATCGGGGGAAATCGATGCTGACGAATTCCCTCTCGTTCGGTATCACGGTGCTGGGAGTCCAATGCAGAAATACCAACGATCTGAGGAGAATTGAGAACGCAAATTTGTTTTCGCGCGCAATAATAAGATATAAAAAGGCGACGAATGTTTTTCGAGACGGCGCGAGAAAAACAGGCTAGTCTGGAATGGATGGTGAGTAATAAAAAAAGAAAAAGAAACCGTTCGACCGGTAAAATGTTCGTTCGTACGAAATTTGTTTTTGCCGTGAATTCTATTTCGAGGAGACGTTTATTGCGCGACACGATCAACGAGCTAATAACACGGACCTCGGGCAATGCGAATTTTTTCCTGCTCTTTTGTTCCACGCCTTCGTAAATCCATTTCTATTGATACGTTTTTCGATACGCGAGAGTTGAAAAAATACACGAATATTTGCGCATCGAGGAGGAATCGAAGCATTCATAAAAAAAGACGATTCTTGTTTAATTAAATATAATTCTTCTGAAATGTAATTAAAGATATAATTAACGGATAGAAACGTTTAAATGTTTTTCTGCTCCTCTGAAAGAAGACAAGAAAATTGACAAGAATCGTTTCTTAGATGAACTCTTCGATGATGTAAATATCCATATTGTAAATCCATAAAAAAGAATTAAAACCAGAAGCAACGGTTATAAGACGATTTAAGAATCAAGAAACGTATATATATATATATATAATACCTATCGTTCGAAGTAGACGAGTTTCGATCAAACATCAGCTTCTCGGCAAGTTTGATCACGTGTTTCAAATTCGACCCGAACCAGATTACTTTCACGTACAGTTTCATTTGATCTATGTGATCCTTGACAAAATTGGTAACGTCGATGTAACTGGTCAACAATAAAGCGCACGGTTTCCCTTGGCACCATTCCGGAATGTACATTCCCTGTTGGCAATACGATTCCTGGCAGTAATAGGTTTTGGTTTTCGGGTCTATGGTAAAATTCCGAATGCTCTCCAACGTGGATTCGTCCATTTCGAAGCGGGAAGCTTTTTCAAGCTCCGTGAAGATTATCCAACTGTCGTCGCGCCTGGATAACGCAATCGGAACGAACCAACCGAAATGGCCCGGAGGAGCGATGGATCCGCATTCTTTCACGTCATGCGAATTTAACAGTGGCATCGTGTCTAGCTGTGGCGGGATCCACACCTCCATATTCACCATTGGAAGTCTGTTCGAAAAATTATTTGACATAAATACTTTTTTACTATTATAAAACGATCTAATTAAAGAGTAAAAATATTATTTCGGTAAAAATATTATTTACAATATCTTTAGGAATTTATTTTAAAATTTAAAGTTAAAAATTAAAGTTCTCTTTTGTGAAGCTTAATTTTAAATAAATTTTAATTCATAAGAACTCGATAAAGAGTATCGAGAATGTAAAATAGTTTGCATCTTACTTTCCGTTATTGTTAAACATTATGTCGTCGGACAATCTACTGAAAGTTTTCTCCACGTTGAACGCATCCTCCACTTCATAGATAAACACTTTCGAATAACCGAGCACCTCTGTCAAGAATATTTTCATGATTATAGTAGCCAGCCTCTGAGTCACTCTACGTGACACCTCGAAATTTATGTTCAATGGTTGCCCGTCCAATTGGATTACCCTCTTTGGATTCACATCTGTCAAAACATTAATTCTTCGATTAATTTTTTAAAACGATTACAAATTGGCTCTTGCTTTAATTGAGCAAGGAGAAAAAGTTCGTATAAGATCAGACGTTGCGTTGGAGCAGTAATTTACCTTCGAGCATGGTCAGACATCGATTTGAGATGACGATTTTCGCGATGGTCAGAAAGACCAACACGCTCAGTATGGATCCAAATCTCAACATCCTGATTTTCTCCTCCTATAAGAAAACGAATATTCTGTCGTTATTTACAAATTTTATAAATTTAAATTATTTTACATAAGGAAAAATTATCGCAATTTATCGCAAGTGGATGAAACGATTATTATTATTAGAAACATAAAGAGGATTCTAATCCAGATAAATATTTGAATGAATTTTATTTGACATCCTCCCAAACATGCTAAAATTCCTACGTTACAAATATAAAATCAATCTAAACTATGACTATATCGATTCTAAATCATCATATTAATGATTTCAGAGACTCTATCAACAGATCCATCTGAAACATGAAAAATAGTATTCCATCGAAGGAGGAGAAAAATACCAGCGAAGAATACTAGCACGTTCCGCATTTCAATGGACGTTCTCTATAGGATATATTAAGATTCACGAAGTAAGACTTAGGTTACAGTCCAGCTAACAATGCACCAGTCCGTGTATAAATAGCCACGACATAGAGAGTGATTCGACTTTAAACGACCAACAGTAAATTTAAACGAACTTAGGAACGCGCTTCTTTCTCACAGAGAAACAGAGAGAAACGGATTCTCTCAGGTAAGTTTGGACAGGTGGGGCACCAATCAAAATAGGAGAGATCGAGGAGAGAAATCGGCGTCGACAAACGCCACAAACTCTTTTTCTTTCTCCGTCGCTTGTCGTAGGTGTGTCGTTTGTTTACAACGACGAACTGAAAGCACGAGCACACGTCGTCGAAGGTGACAAGAGAAGCAATAATCACCACGCTGCTATTCTTAGCCACGGGCAGCGCGGCCGCTTTGACTTTTTAACCCGTGGGCGAATGAACTGCGCCGTTTTCTTCTTCTCCTTAATCGAATCCTCCACCGAGAATTAGGTCGATTGCATTCTTCCACGTGAGAAACCACGTGAAACTCTGACTAAGTTTGTTCGAATAGAACGTATATGTATGTATATATATATATAACACGGTCGGTTAAAAACAAATTCTTTGAAACGTAATTTCAAGAACGTAATTTTTCTTGGAACGGGTTGATATAATATCGATGTTTTTGGACCTTGTTCATTGATGCCAATGATCGATTTCCAAGTTGAGAAAACGCGTCAGGATATTTGGTCGAATGTTGAGGTCACTCGCGTCTGAACGATTACTTACAATTAGCAACTGTTTTAGATATTCACCTGTCTTTGCACGGTCAAACTCGAAAACAAAGATGACGCTAGTTTCTTCCACTTTGTGCGTCATCAAATTGCGATATCGTTTAGATAATCGAATCATTTACGTGTTACGAATAATTGGATGCGTGTTCATCCGAACACTTAAGATACTCTTGTAGAAACGCGGTTAAATATCGCGTTTTAATACGCGAGAAAAGAAAATATTCGGTCGAAATTCGATGGTTGAAATTAATACGCGAATAATCGAAAGTCGAGAACTAATGAATAAAAATATTGGAGATTAAATTATATACGTGATTACGAGAGGAGAATTTTTGCGCTCGTAAAACGTCGTACAAGTCAATAAGTCGGTTCTTACGAGTCCCGAAGTCAATAAATCAATCGGAATGATGTTATTGGCAATTTGATGAATAATTTGTAACTCTGTTTTACTATTAGGCGATGCCATTTCGAATTCTTCAAAGAAATCATCGAGACATTCGTGTCACGTATACAAATACTAATTATATACATCTGTGACAATAAATCATGCTCAACTACTTGAGGTATTTCTGTCTTACTTATCCTAGTTCTAACTGCGTGCATTTATTGATTTGTTATTATTACTCGAACGATTTCTTGAAAATACACGTGACATGTTACAAATTAATTTTATTTCGTTCAAAGAAATTATTATTGTATCCTGATATAAACCGCTATCATCCATTTAATAATCTTTATTAATAATAATCTACTGTGAAGATAAAAACAACGCTCTTCTTCGTAGAAAAAATCTTTTGAAAATTATTATTTGGATATTCGAAGATTCGCTATATCGGATAAACGAGAAATCCCACATATAATTTATATTGCCAATAATTTGCACTTATTAAAATGAGAATAGTCTACTTTTTTCGTCTAAATTCTATGAAAATTGTGACTCGCAATACCTAAATATTCATTCGCACAAAACGAATAATAAACGATAAATAAAAAACGAATCATAATTATTTTTGTATGCTCACAAATTTCGAAACTGAAAATAATAAAAAATCTCGTCTGTATTCTCATTCATGATTCAAAATATCAA